GTCAATTGGTTTACTGGAATGGTGCATGGATAAACCACCAATATTACAATTAGTACTTAAACAAAAAATAATAAAACAACAATTATAAGAAAGGAAAGAAGAATAGTGCAAAGTATGTTGCACCCACAACATGCAAGCAACATAATATCCAACTTGTGGAATTCGGTATGCCTTCGTACGAGATGAAGTCTTACGTGTTAATGATGGGCCGTATAATCTCTACGTGGGGCTACCTAAGCATCATGTTCAATTAATTCATCTACCCACTGAAATGAATTTAGGTGATTCCCCCATTTCTTCTTATCAATGAAGACCCTAGGGTTCCCAAGTCATCCATAAAGAATGCTGTCCTTAGATTTACACAAATAAAGGTGAAAGAACTCCTAGCTGAAATAAGAAAAGTTTATGTTCAAAGAAGAAAATACTTTGAACATATATGAAAAATCCAATGAACAAAGCCCAAGGATATCCTAAATTTAACAATTTATAATGGCAACAAAAGAGGGAAATAAGAAAAGTTTGGCAATTCTTTGAACATATATGGTTGATTGCAATCAAACCCAAGCTGACAGCAGTACAAACAATAAAAAAGAAGGGTGGATGAACGATTGTCTATTATGAACCAATTTTTAGAATATTGACAATGAGGCATGCTGGGTCTTGTTTCACACTATTTTACTTCTCTCAAGGAATAACATTCTCATTTGTAAATGAATGGGTTCCATGAAAAGTGAAAATTTGATTGCACAAGTGGTACCATGAAAAGAGAAAATCCAACCTGCACAAATCCCAGTAATCAAAAGAAACTTGCAGGAATTCAATATAAATTGACAGAAACCCAAAAAAATAAAAATCAATAGACACCAAAAAAGAAGGGTAATTCAACGTAGCATCTGCTATGTCTGTATTGTTCCCTAACTCCAGACTTTTTCGATGATCTAGGATTTCTATTCCATCTCATACCTTAGATCATTTTTTTTTATGTTGCTGATAAAAAACTCAATATCGATTGAACTTATATTAATATTAATCAAACTTATAATTGACTAAAATGAATAACTGGAGCAGAGGTCCACATATGGTGTGCTGGAAGCAGCTCCAACAGAAAAAAAGGTCCAGAAAAGTCAAAGGCAGTAAGCAAACATTCTGCTATGAGAGGATTTTCCCCATCATAGGTAACATCCATGTTGAACCTAACTTTTTCTTCCATCAATTACAGTGGAACGCAATTATCATCAGCATTCATCAAAAAATTTTATTCTCATTTTTTATGAAAAAAAATCAGAGATCCTTATAATTTTTCTTTAAAGGCAAAAGAACATAAAGAAATAATAGTTTTTGACATTCTTCTAAAATTAAAATAATTCAGTTTATATTTCTACACAGAAAAGAAGCCAAAGACTTGGCATTTAGGTTGAGTTTATAAAATGGGATTGAGTTAAAGCTTGCAAAGAGATTTTGTATCAGTTCCTTCCATCAAATCAAAGGTACAGGTTGATCTCTGTGGTTTAGGCTGCATTTATTTATTCAACTTGACACATGGGAAGGGCATACTCTCCCTTTCCACGAGCCTTGCTACTAGAATCTGAAAATTCTAAAACTGGCTTTGGGGATAAAAATATAATCCTTGGGTTCCTAGGAAACCTATTGATATTGCAAATTAGGATAATGAACCAAGCCCTGGTGTTATTTCTCATGGAGTGCTACAGATGATGAAGGGAAGTACCATTTGGTAGCATGGTCACAGATTCACAGGTCTGCTTACCATCAACATGATATCTATGCATATAATATAGTACTAAAATTGTATAGTCGTTAAGACCAATGCACAAGCAAAGCCATAAAATCAGTGTCTCTAAAATGATTTGAATCCTCAAAATCACAGCAAATGCAAACCCAACAGCCTGAACATCTTAGCTATCTCATATCTGAATCATCAAAATCACAGCAAATGCAAATCCAACAGCCTGAACATCTAGCTATCTCATATCCGAATCCTCAAAATCACAGCAAATGCATTTCAGTGAGCTCTTTTCACTATCACAACCTGCATATCTCTTGCATGACCATATTGACTGGGATTGGGGACTTCAAGATTTTCTTTCTAGGGACCTTTGGGATTTGATGGCACCAAAAGTGTATGAAAAACAGACTATCTGTGTGTGCTTATGTATACTCCATATGAAAAGTGGATTTTCTTTCTAGGGACCTTTGGGGTCGGGCTTTGGGCTTTTCATAGGCACTCTGTACGACAAATAGAATACCCATCAGTAAGAATGAACTTAGATGGGCACTTTGTTTTTTTTTTTTTTCAATAATTACAGACAAAATATAGATTAGAAAAGCCTATGCAAAGTTAAATCATTATGAACGAATTAGGTTTGCATGAAAAGTCAATAGTTCATGCGATCATCCACCTATGCTATTCCAGTTTCTTCTGGATGGCTTCCCCATCATCTATTGTAAAAAATTAGTAGTTTCTCCATAGAGGTTTAGGTGGTTGGTTTCTTATTATCCCACACCAAACAACTTTTGCAAATGAGTCCACATCTTAACAAGCATATCCACATATGCGAGAAAGCAAAACGTCATGATCCTCCAGATCAATCTGATAGAGACAACTATGAGGGAATATCATGCAAACTATAGACTCTAGAGCCATATGCATTAGAAAACCATTGCTTGTTTTGCATTGCAAGATTGTGGAAGGAAAGGTAGTTCTAACAAATCTCTGTTCGAGTTTCACATACCAGCGGAGCGGTGAAGAGCTTGGACGGAGGAGAGCTTTGGTGGAAACCTTTGGCAGAGCACAATGGATATCTTCCAGTGGTGGAGACCTTTGGTGGAGCACTTCAGCAGAGGAGACTTTCAACGGTAAAAGAATGTAGAGTTTGGAGAGTGTGCGTGAAGCATGATAGCAAAAGCAAATCGTGGATCGACTCCATCCACGATAAAATGCCATTGACGAGAATTTGGGGTGTGGATAGGGCTGGTCCATGAGATAGTATGGACCGGTCCTATCCACAACGAACTGAACAGTGATTTCATCCCGTGGCATGGACCGAAATGGTCCATCCACGAGATGAACACACTACCGAATGCCCTCTTAAGCGTGCTTGGTTGGGCTTTTGTCAAAATCTCAAATGGAAATGATTCCAAAGCTTAAACTCGAAATAATATAAAACGCTAACTTAGGCCAACACCCCTACTCCCCAATAGCTGTCTTGCTCAAGGTTTTTAAAACTGGACCGGACAAAACCATTCCGAGGTCTGATTCCTAGGTTGAATGGTTCAACTATTGGTCCAAATGAATGGTCGGTTCTGACAAAAAATAAAAATAAAAAAACCCAAAAAACTGCAAAAAATATTCCCATGTCAAATGATTTGATGGTTTGATCACTTGAGTTAGCAATTCGTTGACTAAATCAACAATTTTTGACCAAATAACAATTTTAAATAAAACAAAACCAATAATTGATTCCCAATTTTTCAGGTCCGACCATCCGATCAAATTTGGTTTTAAAAACATTGGTCTTGATTCTCCATGGGAATTTATCAAATCTTTTTAAGCTGCTAATAACAAAACGACAAAATGGCTAACCTATGGGTTTAGATGACTAAATATTTTGTGGAATATCCTTCTGTAACCTTTTGATTGTTCCTGAAATTTCCTAGCATGAAAAGTTGGAAGTTGGAACAACGCAAAGTCGGAAGAATCTGTGGGAGGGGATTACCACAAATCCACCTTCCATTGTCCCAAAACTACCTTGTCTCTAACCCCCTTAACAAAAACCTGCCTTCTATTTACCCAATTAATGCAGAGAGACTTTACCAAAAAATAAAAGATAATGCAGAGAGAAGAAAATTTTAATCAAATTAAATGGTCAAAATTGATCTGCAGGGCCCACTGGATTCCCTAAACAAACGACACGTGTCTATTCCTACCCCACCACTCTTTTTTTCTTTTTTCGTATGAGTCGCACCGCACAACTAAAGGTCTGAGTGTCTGACCGATGAGTCAGACCGCAGAGTAGAATTTGGAGCTGTGATTTGGTGCGAAACTTCAAGAGCATCTCCTCGCCTACCTAACCACCACAAACAGTATCGTCCGCATCATCCAAATTTGCATCCGTTGCATGGATGGGATCATCATTTAATCGACATTGACATACAAGATGGGAGATGGCACGAAGCACATCACGTGATATCATAACCTGTAAATGGAATCAATGTAGCATCACGCGTGCGCCACGACCCACGGGCATGGCATGTCTTTCGTGGGTCGCGCTCACCGATAAGTCAACAATTCCTGCGCCGGGCCTACTAATGACCGTCTGATCTATCAGGGGTCATTCAGATGGTGGGCTGGGTTCAGTCCACGTGAGTCCTACTCCGCATTGGTCTTGATCACACGGTGGAAATGTGGAATCACCGGTTTTGGAGCGGGAAACCGTGTGAGAAAACCTCGAATCTAAAAACTAGGGGAGCCGAGCCATCAGCATGCCCATTGGTTTTGAACCCACGAGACATAATTTCATGGGTCACGGCCCATGGGTCTGCATAAATATCGTCGATTGTCTCATGGGAATGAGAGAAAAAGCTAGCTAGCACTGGCAGCTAATATCCTTGAATGCGGCCTATCGTACATGCGAACCACGATAGAAAAGATATTTTTTTCCTTTTCTTTCTTTCTCTTTATCGCGAGAAGGTCACGAAGGAGAAATAGAAATATACAATCTGATGGGGCTTACACGTACCCAATTAATTGGAAGGCTTAAATTAGTTCTAGCTTAGATCTACGGTCCTGATTGACAGACATGCGATTTTATTCAACTACAGTAACGTGGCATAATTCAACTGTAAACCAGTGCCACGTCGTGCATGGGCCACGTGGCTATTTTATGATGATTCCACCTGGCGCAGATGGTCGGTGCGGTCTGCCACGTAAAATTGTTTTACTGAAACACAACCAATTTTAATTTATCCCGATAAAAAGAAAACGAGTGACGAGAACACGAGAACTTCGTAAATTAGAAAAGAATTTGTTGCTTGTCAAAATTCAGAACTCGAAAAATCCTTCCTGGCTTCTGGAAAGACTGGAATGTGCCGTGGAATCCCGGTTTTCCTGAACCATATATGTAAGAAGGGGTGACAGGATCCGAGCTCAGAGGAAATTTTGGGTGAAGACCAGTCTCGCGCTCTGTTAATCCCTTTCTGGTCCGAAGGCGACCTCCTTCGATCGAAGAAATCAGGCTTCAGTTCTGTTTGTGTTTCTTCTGTTCTTTCTCGGATCTCTATTGTTAATCGAAAATGCAGTCGACTAACTTGCTCCTCGAAGAACCAATTAGGATGGCTTCCATTCTCGAGCCATCCAAACCAGTAAGTAGTAATCCACAGATCTCACCTGTTTTTTTTTTTTTTTTCTGTTATTTCTTTGTTTGTTATTCGCTTTTGCAACCTCCATTCTCTGAGTGTTATTTTGATTGAGGAAAGGAATAACTTTTTACTTTGTTCCAGATCGCTTCTTGCTACTGAGATGTTGAGTTAAATTGTTTTATGTAGGCGGGAGGCGTAGGGTGATTGTTTAGGGTTTGCGTCTTTATTTGGCCTCGATTTGTGATTTATTATGTTTTTTTTTTTTTTTTTTTTCAGACTTTCTTCCCTGCAATGACGAAGATTGTTGGGACTCTCGGTTCGAAGTCGCGACCTGTGGAAATTATTTCTGGATGCCTTAAGGCGGGGATGTCTGGTATACAATATTTTAGATCTTTTTGATTATGTACTTCTGTTCCTTAGAGAATAGACTCTTACTTGTTTTTAGTAGAAGAAAATGTTTTGTTTTTAATCTTCGATCTGGTTCGTTGGTGTAGTAGTGATATTTGTTTTCTCTTTGTGCCAGTGGCGCGTTTTGATTTTTCATGGGGAGACATCGACTATCACCAAGAGACTTTGGAAAATCTGAAGATGGCTGTCAAAAGTACAAAGAAGCTCTGCGCTGTAAGTTGTCTTATCCCAAACTCTACTTGTCTTCTTTTTGCCGCACAAACTCTACTTAGCTCAGTTATAACGGCTCCCACGCGTTAAACGTGTCGGTGTTTGCCGGGCCGGTTAGCATGGTTGTCAAGGCGTCTAGGCGATAATAATATAAAAACTAAATTTTGGTTGGTTCCTTTATATTTCATTACCATTCAGCATGCATGTTAAAAGAAAAATACCAGTTCTCTTTATTGAGAGCATTAAATTTCCTTTCAAAACACATTCGTTATATCTGGGAGAATAGTATTTTAAATATGCTATTTTTCAATAATTTGAAAATTAGTTCTAATGCAAGAAATATCTAATAACACGCTTTCTCATATAATTAGATACTAGAGAACGACTATAATTTTATATGATAAAATTTAAGATAGAGAGTAAATTTAAAAAGAAAAAGGAACAATGGTGGAGCAGCTGTTTTATTTAATGTGTGTGTGTGTGAAGAGAGAGAGAGAGAGTAGGAACAAGACTCCTTTTTCACTTCTATTCTTTCTTTTTCCCTACGCAAACTCTCGGAGCTTTAATGAAGACAATATGCAACATATAATAGAATTTATAAACATTCATATTGGTAAGATGTAGCAATATGAATGATCCTGCCTTGTCATTTTTGGCGCCTAGGTGGGTGCTTTGTTGTAACAAGTCAAGCTATCAAGGTGTTCAGGTGAGGCACCCAACCAAGGGTGTGTAGGTAGTGCCTTGACAACTATGCCGGTTAGGTTAACATTTGAAACTTTTGTGAACTATGCTTTTGTTGTTTTGATTTCTTGTCTTGTTCAGATAAAAACGGAAATTTAGCATGAAGATATCTTTTCCTTTTTTAGGTCATGCTCGACACTGTGGGCCCAGAGTTGCAGGTCGTTAATAAGAGTGAGAAATCCATTTTGCTTCAAGAGAATGCCTATGTTACTCTAACACCTGATCAGGAAAAGGAAGCCACTTCGGAGCTATTGCCTATTAATTTTACTGGGCTGTCAAAGGTAATAAACATGGCAGGGCACCTTTTATCTTGTTATGGAATATTTGTACAATACAAGAACATCCTCGGTCATATCTGTTAGATAATATCAATGATGGCACCTAACATGGCTGTTGCCTATTAATTTGTACAATTCGGAGCAATTATTGCCTATTAATTTTACTGGGCTGTCATAGGTAATAAACATGGCAGGGCACCTTTTATCTTGTTATGGATCACAAGAACATCCTCGGTCATATCTGTTAGATAATATCAATGATAGCACCTAACAGGATTAGGGCATTAAGCTCAAGTGTATTCTTTCGATTGTCAAATTTCTTCCAGGTTTCCTTGTGTTTGTGGAGAATTCTTTCTGGATTTTAGAAATGATACAACTTATGATTTCTGTTTGGTCTTTGCCATAATGCAAATGATCAAATATTACCACTATGAAAGTATTTCATTTAGGCCGTATCATCAAACTGTGATTCTACATGATAATATATAATTATTTACCATTCACCCTGCTTGAAATATACTTTTCTTCATTAAATCCTTACCTGGGATTGATGGTGCTTTAAAAGTCCATTCTCAAATGCAAAGTTTAAAAGCTTGCAAGAGTTCCAAAGCTGTTTTATGGGGTTTAATTGAGTGACTGAGATTATTTCGATATGTTGATAATTCACATGAGCAAGTAGGACACTGATATAGATGATGATCTTGTTGATCTATTATTTCAATACCACCATTTTTATGTTTGGATAAGACATATGGTGTTTCTTTTTGGTAGCGAAATTTTCTGAACCATGTTTTACTTTTCTGTCCCAGTTTTTACTCCGTGCTGATACCTTTGTGATTGCGCTTGATTTCATTATATTATATATTGTCCAGTGAACTTTGCATCTTGTAAGCTGAAGCATGTTTGGTGATGTGCAGGCAGTGAAGAGAGGTGACACCATTTTTATTGGTCAATACCTGTTCACTGGAAGTGAAACAACATCTGTTTGGCTGGAGGTAAGGTCATGGTTATTAAATGATTATATCAAGTTCTGAAGTTGTTCAGCACAAAATTCCTTGCATACTTGGCCCAACTTGGAAAGGAAACTAACTGAAATAATCAGGCATGTCAAATTAGTCTGAATGCCAAGCAAGAAGGGTAATTTTGGCAACTTGGAATGCTCCAATCACTTGCATTGTAAGCTTAATTTTGATGGTTTGCAGTGTGGGAGATATGGGGCTTTCAGGTGTTGAGGGTATGGGAAACTTGTTTTAGAATATTTTTTAGTTCCAATGGGAGATGGAACTTTGGTTAGAGCAGAATTACTAGCTGTTATACAGGGATTAAAATTGGCATGTAGCCAAGGACCCTCAACCATATTAATATTGCAGCAGGTATAAGGGGGATTCTATGCGGGTGATAGGTTGGTTAATGTGATGATTTGTGGAGATCGAGATCGAGATCGAGAGAGAGAGAGAGAGAGGTATGGTTGAGAGGAAAAAGCCTGTTTCTGGCTGCCGCCAGTTTTCTATTTATATTAACTTCATAAAAGAATCAGAAATTACAAGTATGCCCCTGGTGGCACATCCTAGAATCAAAATAATAAGAAAAAGAAAAAAACAAGTAACTGACCGACAACCTACTAACAACAACTATAAAATAACAATTAAGTAAGCCTTACAACACTTCCCCTCAAGTTGGGTTGAATATGTCTATCATGCCCAGCTTGTCACATAACTTATTGTGCTGCGAGCATTGAAGCCCCTTTGTAAGGACATCAGCAAGTTGTTCCTTGGAGTTGACATAAGGAATGCAAATTTCCTTTTTTTCCAATTTTTCCCTTATGAAGTGTTTATCCACCTCAATGTGCTTGGTCCTTTCATGTAGGACTGGGTTGCTGGCGATGTTTATTGCAGCTTTGTTGTCACAGTAAAGGGACATAGGACTATGAACAACAACTCCAAGCTCCCCTAGAAGATTCTTTAGCCAAAGGACTTCAGCCACCCCTGTGCCATAACTATATATTCAGCTTCAACACTTGACCTTGCTACCACACTTTGCTTCTTGCTTTTCCAGGTCACCAGATTTTCTCCCACAAATGTGCAATACCCACTAGTGGACTTCTATCATCCACAACTCATGCCCAATCAACATCTGTAAAGACTTCCACCTTTAAGTGATTGTGTTTACTGAATAATAGGTCTATTCCTAGATATTTCTTCAAGTATCTAACGACTCTCTTTGCTGCTTCCATGTGTGGTTTCTTAGGAGAGTGCATAAACTGGCTCAGGACCCCAACGGAATAGGCAATGTCTAGACGGGTCATGGACATATAAATCAGCTTTCCCACTAACATTTGTAACTGTTTCACATCTTTCAAAGGTTCACCAACACAGTCACCTAGCTTGTGGTCCGCATCCATAGGAGAGTATCTGCCGGCCTTGCACCTAATTTACCTGTATCCCGTAATAGATCAAGGGTGTATTTCCTTTGAGAGACAAAGATACCCTTTTCTGAGCGAGCAATTTCAATCCCAAGGAAATACTTCAGGAGGCCTAGATCTTTCACTTCAAATTTAGATGCAAGGAATTGTTTCAAGTTCTGTATCTCTGAGCTCCAACTTCCTATAATGATGATATTGTCTACATACACTATCAATACAACCCGTTCTTGACATCTCTTCACAAAGAGTGTATGATCAGACTGACATTGTTTGAAGCCCATTTCTTGAACTGCCATGTGAAACTTACTGAACCAGGCTCTGGGAGATTGTCTTAAGCCATAGAGAGACTTTTGCAGCTTGCACACCTTATTTTCACTCCCCTTGGCACATAATCTAGGGGGTTGAACCATGTATACTTCTTCTAAGTCACCATTCAGGAAACCATTCTTTATGTCCAGTTGATGCAATTCCCAGTTAAGATTAGCGGCTAAGGACAGGAGAAGGCTAATTGAGTTCATCTTAGCCACTGGGGCAAAAGTCTCATCATAGTCAACCCCGTATACTCTTGTGTATCCTTTGGCTATTAATCTTGCTTTGTACCTTTCAACTGTTCCATCTGCCTTGTGCTTAATCGTGAACACCCATTTGCACCCCACGGGGTCTTTCCCCTTTGGGAGATCCACCAATTCCTAAGTCTGATTTTTGTGGAGCGCATTAATCTCCTCCTTCATGGCATCTACCCATTCAGGGCATTTTAAGGCTTTTGCAACATTCTTGGGAACAGGGATGCAATTAACTGTCGATAGGAAGGTTTGGTACGAGGGGGAAATGTGGTCATAGGAGACAAAGTGGGTAATGGTGTGTTTGGTAGTGCAAGACCTGACTCCCTTTCGTTGGGCAATAGGAATGTCAAGGTCATCCACAGTAGGAGTAGGGTTAGGGGGTGGACTTACCTCCTGGGAGTCTGATGATGTCAGTTGCTCAGTGTTTGGCTGCTCCATATCTCTATCACACCGCTGATCTCTCTGACGTGTACGTTGGAAGACACGGAAGGGAGTAAGGTCCGGAATAGAAGGAAGAGATACCTGAATCTGCTTCTCTTCCACACTACGACTCTCCCCTTGAGGAGGAGGGAAGAATGGCTTGGACTCAAAGACGGATACATCCATAGACAAAAAATTTATGACTAACTGAATCAAAGCATCGATACCCTTTTTGAGAGGAGGGGTACCCCAGAAAGACATAAGGAATGGACCAAGGGTCTAACTTACCTCGGAATGGAGACAAATCATGGAAAAAGGCCCGACAACCAAAGACTCTCATGGGGATAGAAAATAAAGAGACTGAGGGTACAATAAATGATGAGGGGCCATGTAGTTCAGTACTCTGGAGGGCATGYGGTTGAWGACATAYRCARYTGYAAGTATAGCATCCACCCAAAACCTTTTTGGGACATTCATGTGTAACATCATCCCGCGGGCTACCTCAAGAAGGTGTCTGTTTTTCCTTTCTGCAACACCATTTTGTTGTGGTGTTCTGGCGCATGAGCTCCTATGAATAGATTCGTGGGAGGCAAATAACTCGTTGAGCTCCCCATGTAATTATTCCTTTGCATTATTAGATTGGAAAATCTGTATTTCAACATAGAACTGCGTAAACTCCATCCTCTGGAAGTCTTTCACTATCTTTGGAACTTCGTCTCTGCTACGCATAGGAATTACCCATGTATAGCGAGAGTATCATCGATCAACGTAATAAAGTACTTATATCCGCCCTCAGGGATTACATTTGTAGGCCCCCATACATCAGAATACACAGCATGAAAATGAACATTTGATCTTTTATTACTTGAGTGAAAAGTTGTTCTACATTGTTTGCTCAACTGACTTGTTTGGCACATGAACTCTGACACTGAACATGGCTTAAATAAAACTGGAAACAAGGATTTTATTATTTCGAAAGAAGCATGACCTAAACGACTATGCCACAAAAAAAATTGACTCTTATTGGACTGATTATGCGACTCCGAGGATGACACTGAGAGACCAACTTTGTTGTCRAGAATGTAGAGACCATCCACTAGGCTTCCTCTACCAATCGCCCTCCCAGAAGTTAAACACATGAGTCAGCAAAAAATGTCACACTGCAGCAGTTCAAGGAGCTTGTAATGCTACTAATTGAAAGCAAATTTATAGGAAGCTGAGGGACATGCCATACACAATTCAGGTTAAGGCCATGGGGAAGGGATATCGATCCTTGGCCTGCAATGAATGAAAAAGAACCATCTGCAAGTCTCACTCTATCCCTTCCTAACAAAAGTCTAGAAGACTGAAAACAAGTTAGTCTTATCGGTCATGTGGTTGGAGGCCCCTGAGTCAATGATAGAGGGGAATCTGTAGGAGTGACATGGAATGCAGAAGCCATATTACCTGAAGTAGATGCAAATGAAGTAGAGGGAGTACCAGTGATTGAGCTGTCCATTTGCCGCAAAGCCCTACCATAAGATTCCAGGTGCTCTTTGAAGGAATTCATTATATCCTCCTTGGGGTCAGACTTGTTATTAGGGTGGTCCCGGGGTACTACCGACAACTTGAGTATCTTGGGTTGCCACATGTCCTGTGCTCATTTTCTTCTGATGACCTTTACCCTGTTCTTGATTCTTTGCTGCCCACTTGGGTTTTCCGTGGATGTCCCAACAAGTGTCACGTGTATGTCGTGAACGCCAATAGTGGATACAAAACAACTCATCTTTATCATCCGCCTTCTTAGGGTCACTTTTCTTTCTCGTGGAGTTATTATTCATTGCAGCCAAAGCAACTTATTGCTCCCCCTCAGCTGTAACCATCACATTCCGCCTGCATTTTTCAGATTGAACAAGGGAGTATACCTCGTGAATCGTAGGCAACTCTTTTCTTCCTAGGATCTGCACCCTCAATGGTTCATATACAGGGTTCAGTCCCAACAAGAAAGCAAACACCCATTGTTGAGAGACCACCTTCCTGTAGGCCTTAKCATCATCATCGTGCTTCCACTCTATGGCCTGATAATGGTCCAATTCCTTCCATATGGAGGTAAGGGCTGAATAGTATGAAGACAAGCTACAGTTTCCTTGTTTACATGTTGAGGATTCAGCTTGCAACTGGTAAACCTTGGCGTAATGCCTTTGCTCAGAATAGGTAGTTCTGGCCTGTTCCCAGATCTCACTAGCGGTGTCTGCCCACATAAAGTTCTTTTTCACATCAGGTTCCAAGGCTGCAAGGAGCCAAGACATCACCATATTGTTTTCTTGGTCCCATCTATCATGTTCAGCCGTCTCACCCTTGGGTTCTTTCACCCTTCCATTGATGTAACCAGCTTTACCCCTTACCGTTACATAGAGTTTTACACTCTTAGCCCACTCCAGGTAGTTTAGACTATTTAAAGGGGTAATTGGCATGGGAAAAACCATGTTTTCACCTCCCATACTCGCTGTGCTGCGGGTTGGTGTAGCCCCCGATGAAGTTAATTCATAACTTGCCATCGAATACTACTGAAAAACAATCCAAACACCACCCAACAACACAACAGCCACAATCAGAATACCAACCCTCAGGGAGTTTACTCCTAGAATGTGAGCAAGAGAACAAAAAATACTGCTAAGAACAAAGGGTTCAGTCAACACAACCAGTCATTAAACTAGTCCGGTAATCGGTTCAGCACCACCGATACAGACATTACAATCAGTCTGACTGTAGTTCACATAGCCTAATCATCCAACGTCCAAACAAATAACTATATAACCAAGGCATGAGCCCTACACACCATCGGCCAAAGAAGGCCGAGACAAACTGAAACAAAAAACACTCCTGTTCAGCACTTGTACGAAGGTGCTAATCTGAACTTGACTTCACAGCATCGAACAGAGGGGTCTGCATCAGCATCGCCCTTCTCTGACTAGGGTTTTCTTGGTATGACGACCAAGAAAAAGAAATCACAGAAGTTGCCGCCAGAAAAAACTGCTAGGGTTTCTGCACAAAAGTTGCCAGAAACCTGCTAGGGTTTCCACAGAACTGCCACGTCCAAAAACTTTTAAAGAGTGGGCAGGAGGGATCGTAGGTCTTTTTCAACCCAGAAAAACTGCTCTGATACCATGTGATGATTTGTGGAGATCGGGGAGAGAGAGAGAGAGAGAGGCCAGTTTTCTATTTATATTAACTTCATAAAAGAATCAGAATTTACAAGTATGCCCCTGGCGGCACATCCTAGAATCAAAATAATAAGAAAAAGAAAAAACAAGTAACTGATCGACAGCCTACTAACAGCAGCTATAAAGTAACAATTAAGTAAGCCTTACAACAGTTAAGAAATGAATATTAGACGGGTGCCGTGTGGTATGGACCCACAGGTCAGCTAATATGTAGTTGACACCATGGCAAAACAAGGGGTATATTGACATCTATTGTTTAGGGGCAGGGTTTTCTTTGGGTTAAGTGGGCCTTATGCCAGCCTATAGAAAAGGATAGTGACTTTGCTCTGTTGTATATATCTAATTAATATTTAATTAATGTTCTTTTACAAGAAAAATCAGGTTGACTGGGTTATTTGAAGGTCCTTTGATCTGTTGAAATTCCTGAGTTGCAAATCATGTATCTCATGTAGACCTAGCCTGCTTCAAAAAATATTATGAACCTAAATGAAGGGTCCTAGCATTTCAAAGTTTAGCGTATATACCAATTTAAAATCCTTTTGTCTCCAACTCCCGACTAAAAAAAACAGAGAAAAAAGAAGTGGAAAAGCAGAAAAACTTGGGTGGTGTGACCTGTTGGGGCAATTAGCCTGGGTGGAGGAGCAAGTAGTTCACTGAAGTATGTAAGTTCAAGTAAGATATTATTTTGCCTAATGGAAATGACACTAATCTGAATTTGTAAACTTGTGTTTTTCATTGTAGGTTTCTGAACTGAAGGGGGAAGATGTGGTTTGCATGATAAAGAACTCTACTACATTGGCTGGGTCATTGTTCACATTGCATGTTTCTCAAATCCGTATTGACCTGCCCACCTTGACTGATAAAGATAAAGAAGTAAGTTTTAGTTATTTTTCAATAATCTTTCCTACTATAGAACTATTAATATGCCTCTTTTAATGCTAAACAATAGTATGGCTATTAGAAGTTGCGTTTCTTGAGTTGGGTGGATATGATGAAACATTTGATACCTTTAGAATGTAAAAAAGAAAGATTTATTACTTAGGAACTTTCATCTAGTGATTATGAATCTCTTAGTTCAGTGATTTTCAGATCGAGTAGGTGCTTTTAAAATTTGAATCTTCTTGCACTAAATGTTATGGTGTTTTGCTGCTTGCCTATGGGTTTTTGTCCATTATGTTTCATGATATTTCATTGATTATTTCAGGTAATAAGTACATGGGGTGTCAGAAACAATATTGATTTTCTGTCTTTGTCATATACCCGTCATGCAGAGGATGTTCGTCATGTAAGGATCTCTTTTTGTGAATATTCATGCTTAGATTATTTTCCTTGTAACGGTTTATGTATATGCATGTGCATATGTAATCTATTTCCAAGGATTCTTCTGGGATTATATATATAATTACCTGTTCATTAAAATCCTTTTTTTTGCAGCTCTCCGGTTTTTGTTTCTCTTTCTTGATGTTGTCATTTTATATGTTAATGAGCTTGATGCTGTGATGCAGGCTCGTGAGTACCTTTCTAAATTGGGTGACCTTAGTCAGACTCAGATTTTTGCAAAGATTGAAAATGTTGAGGTAAGCTTCCAAACTATTATTATTAGTACATTCTAAATTAATTTAGTTTTGACCATCTTCTTCACGGTAGTGCTTGTATGACAATGTGAGTATGCAACCTTTCTTCGATTCTTGCAGGGCTTAGCCCATTTTGATGAGATCCTACGTGAAGCTGATGGTGTTATCCTCTCTCGTGGTAATCTGGGTATTGATCTCCCACCTGAGAAGGTCAGCTTTCTGAACTCTGTGCAATTTTAAAATAAAATATTTCAGGAGCTATTGTCTATATAATCTGCCAACCCATTGAACACTGGTTGTTGGTTAACCACCTGGTATTAGTGATTTGCTATGCTAACCATTGGAACTAACCTGGATATGATACATGTTCTTCCTGAATTGTGATCAGGTTTTCTTATTTCAAAAATCTGCTGTCTACAAGTGCAACATGGCTGGAAAACCTGCAGTTGTTACCCGAGTTGTGGACAGTATGACTGATAACCTGAGACCAACTCGTGCTGAGGCTACTGATGTTGCAAATGCCGTATTGGATGGTAAGTCATATTCCAAGTGGAAGATCCTCATATTTTTCCATGGTCCATAAATCCTTTTTTTTGAAGTTACATGTCTATGAGCTATTTGGTACTGCAGATGTATACTTATTTCACTTGTGAATGGGTGCAGGAAGTGATGCAATTCTTCTAGGTGCAGAGACACTGCGGGGTTTATATCCTGTTGAGACCATATCCATTGTTGGCAAAATTTGTGCTGAGGTAAGCCTCTTCTATTGTTTTCACCATTGAAACTTGTCTGGATTTAGAAGCTGTCTTTCTCATACCATGTTAATGTCTCATACATTTCTTGGTTCTATATTCCTTGAGAAATACTTTTGAAAAATGTAAACTGGAATATATCATTTCCTCTGAAGGTGCCTTTCATAGTTTGAGTTCAAAGTTGTGTACTTGTGACATCATCATGCTTTCTCTTTATGTTTAGAGAAATTAATTGTTTCTTCATCAAACCGGAAAAGATAGCTGATTGAGGCTTTTGAGCTTCAAATGTTGTGCCTTTGTTCAAAATTTTTAAATTAATAATGCAAATCAAGCGACACTTGATGACAAGATTGAAAACAAGTCTCAAGCATCAAAAGCTTATAATTTGTCTGGTGAAGGCATGTTGAAAAAATACTGGTGCCACTGCTGTTATCTTAGGGAAACTCTTGAGGTTACAATGTTTTTTAATTTTAATACATGATCAGGGAGGGTATCGGGTTTATATGGTGAATGGGTTTACCAGATAAGTGTTCGTCATATCAATTCTTTATATTTATTTGGTTAAAAAACATTTCAAGTCTTGTATCAGAGTTTATATTTTCCAAGAGGCTAATGTCTGGTGTGTTTTATGTGCTGGTCTAGTGAATTACTGTGGTGCCAGATGGTCCTATTCCTGTTGGACCCAGATTTATGCTGGATTTATCTGACCTTAAAGAGCACCGTTGAATTTCTTCAATTAGTTTTCTTACTGTTGAAAATCTTCAATTGATGCTAATTGGCTGCTATCTTACTCAGCATTTTCTAGAGTTTTTTATATAATTAACTGATTCAGCAATTTTATTAATGAGAAAGAAAAGAGATAGGAGAAGGAAAAATGGTGCACCTGCACCCCCCAAGAACAATAAAACATGAAGGGTAGTCCCTACGCCATCTTTCCCCAACTAAGCAACTCAAAGATCACAAGGATTACACTGATAAAAAAACGACCACAAGGGTAAGATGTCCTGCATGAATATATATAGTGCCATTCTATTCGTTAATAAGTTACATAAATGATGAAGAAAATGACTTCTAGAAATGATGGAAAGCTGTATTTCTATCTTGCCTGAAAAACCTTGGTTGCATTTTTCTCATTTAAATGGTGTTTCATTGTTGGTTTCTTTAGTTTTAGCGGGGATTGCATTTGATTCCATGTGCCTGCGCATGGAATTGAGACATCTTTAGATTTTAATTGTGTAACGGAGATTGGCCTATTACCATAAAATCCAACTTTTAGTCACAAGTTTTCCCGCTCTTTTTGATTTCTATTCTTTATATATCATGATATTATCATCTGTTGGCAATATCCATTGATCTTTTATAGCTGGCTTTTATAGAGGTTCATGTACCCTTGCTTATATAGTTAAATTGCTAAACGTGCAGGCAGAGAAGGTTTTCAACCAAGATCTATATTTCAAGAAGACTGTCAAATATGTTGGAGAACCAATGACCCACTTGGAATCCATTGCTTCTTCTGCGGTATTTCATTTGGAATTTCACTTGTAGTATAGTATTAATCATTAATCATTGATCACTGCATCAAAAGTTGCTCTGTTTGAGAGGTATGCTAATGTTTGATGCTCTTTATCTAGGTACGTGCGGCAATTAAGGTGAAGGCTTCTGTTATTATTTGTTTCACTTCATCTGGAAGGGCTGCTAGGTAATCTCCTGAATCCTGACGAATGTTAGAATGTAAATGTTTGTCTATTTAAAGGAAATTTGATGATTATTTTTGACTGCCCTCGCTATTAAAAAACCCTTTTCCTCTTTGTTTTCAACAAGATCTTTGGGTAGCTAGTTTTAGCTGGGCCTTGTACTAGAGAAATTAATCATCATATGCAGTTGTGTGTTTTATTTGTATGCTCACCTGACAATCTAAATGTACTTGTTCATGCAGATTGATTGCAAAGTATAGGCCAACAATGCCTGTTATATCAGTTGTCATCCCTCGCCTCAAAACAAATCAACTTAAATGGAGTTTTACTGGTGCCTTTGAGGTATTTGGCCAGCCTAATTATTTACGACTGCATTACTATGAAATGTTATGAGACTGCCTTAGCTGAATTAAAATTTTGTTGGTTGCATTCCTACTTTAAGCTTGTTGGAGAACATTAAACCTTTAAAGCCCCATGACCACCGTTTAATCTCCAGTATATTGGATGTGCAAAAATACAATGCTTTTTGTGTACTACAAAAAATGATCAGTAATCAAATTATCTTGGGGTAAATACTTCAAACCTCCCCTGAGGTTTGTGAGAAATACTTGAACCTCCCCTTACCTTTCTTGCTCGACTGTAGCCTACCTTGTCTGCTAATGTGGCAGGACAAGACTAATGCCAGTTACCAGTAGAATATCAAAAAATTTTCAAAAAATAAAAAAATGACCTCATTTAGCCTTGCATGAAATTACATGTGGGCAAAAATACCCTCTTGTTATTTATTATCTGTCACTTATCTTCAAATCTTGTGTCCTATTCTTAAATTAAGTCATAGTAAAATTGCAGTAACCACCCAGCAATAAAAGTCTACTTGAACTACTAATCTCTGTTGGGTCCCCTTAACAGGATACCTCAGTTTATCAACAATAGAGGTCCGTTTGGGAGGGCTGAGCTGAAGATTCAGCTAAGCTGGTTCGGCTGCTTTGCAGTTCTCCAGTTGATATTCAAAAAGGCTGAAGCAGACCAGCTCTTAAATGGATGACTGACAGCTGATACTGATTTGGGCTTTTTCTGGGGTTTTCACCAAGCATGCCATCGGCATGGGGCCTGCCTTGGATTGTTCTGCCAGTCTTGAGTCCCAAAGGTCTAGAGGAAGGCTCGTATTGTGTATAGTATCTTTTAGAACCTATTTAAAACTTTTTTTCAGAAATCTTGTTTTTTAATAAACCAAAAATATATAAATAATATTATTCTATGCAACCTTGAAAAAAACTAAAAACATAGAACTGGAAGGCTCAAAATATCAATACACCCCTTCCAGATATTTTGAACCTTGAGTCTGGACTCTGGAGTGATAAAGCCTTGGCCAGGGGCATCGCGAAAACATTACTTGTATCTAGTTGTCCATTCTAGCTTATATGCCTGAATGAGTTAGACTATATCGCGGGTGAGAATATTATTGTTGGTTTATTGTAGGATTTCTTTGGGAGAGGCTTATGGAAGAGTAACAAGTCTCTTCCGTTTGTTTTTGGTGTAAATATTTATTGATCGATGGAGTTCAACACCGATAGGTTTAAATGAGTGAACCATTGTAACTTTGAAAAGTGTGATAATCAATGTAAATAATTACATCGATTTTATTTATGTTGTATTTACATTGATTATCAATGTAACACTCAACCATGAGTGGAGTTTACATCTTCGATGTAAAACTGCACTCCATTCAAACACAGACAAATATGGACTGGGAGTGGAGTTTTATGCTGGTTTGTATTTACGCCAGAAACAAACGCAGCAGAATTCAGTCATAAACCCAATTGATGGTTTAGTCTATAGGGGCATTTTAGACAATGTGCAAATTGGAGTTTACAACACCGATGAGACCAGGAGAGGAGTTATGGTTTAGTCTTAGGGCATTTTAGACTGCATAAATTCTGTTATTAACGACTCAGTCATCTAAGAGGGGGTGTAAGGATGACAATAAGTTGGGAGTAAGTTCAAGGATTTATCCCAATTATTTTTGAAATTCAGATTTAGCTGGACTTTTCATTACTTAACTGATAAATCTATCAATTCCTTGGTCAGAATCGGAAAGATAAGAATCTATTTTTTTTTTTTCTCTATTTAATAAAAATCATTTCTTGTTTTTTTTTTGATAGATAAATCATTTCTTGGTTTTTTGATAGATAAATCATTTCTTGCCTATTTAAGTGGACTTTCTTAAGTTCAAGATGTTCTATTTCATTCAAGTAGTTTATCGACCTTGGTATTTTGGTTCAATCTCAGGAAGTTCCTTGTGAGCTAATAATGAATGTTATTTGTAATTAAATACCATGCAGGCGAGGCAATCGCTCATAGTCAGAGGCCTCTTTCCCATGCTTGCAGATCCTCGACATCCGGTGAGTTTATATTTTATTTAGATCAATTGGTTCATGTATTTAGTGCCCACTGAAAATTCTATGCATACATCAGATTTAGTGCCCATTGCAATACAAGTGCGGATGGGGACGAGGTGTTTATAGGATGCATATAAATTCTATTCTAGTCTTCCCTCCGATTGATCTAATAAGCAAATTTGCCATGAAAAAATATTTCAGAGAACTTAAAATTATGCATCTATTTTTGGGTACCTGAAACAAGCTCACCTACTTTTGATGATGCAGGCTGAATCAACAAATGCTACAAATGAGTCGGTCCTGAAGGTTGCACTTGATCATGGCAAGGCTTCTGGGGTAATCAAGTCTCATGATCGTGTTGTCATTTGCCAGAAAGTGGGGGATGCTTCAGTCGTAAAGATCATTGAGCTCGAAGACTAGACTAAACGATGTTTGTTTGTTTTTTTTTGAATATATAATATATGCTTTTGCTTCATTTTGGTTTTGGTCCCCTTGTAGAATGCTATGGGCATGGTAATAGGCCTACGAGGGCTCACCAAGCTCTCATAGTTTAAGAGATGAGCTGTTGTGTTAAGAACTTAAAATATTAAGAGTGTACACTGAGGCAGTTGCAGTTATATTGCATCTTTTAAAGCTATTAAGTAGAAATAGAAAGTCGTGGTGGCTTATCCGCTGCTGCGCTTCCTGTTTATTTCAGACCTTCATTTATCGTTCCAGACACCAGAATGAATCTACTGTCCAGCGATTTGGCTTACCTTATTCAAAGCTTCAAAAAGCTTAAACTGGCCCCAGATCATCGTTACCACCCACCCTTGCAGGGAAAAAAACCTTTCAAGGTTTTCTGGTTCAAATTCCTGCGGGTTGTTGCTGCTTCCATCTACACATCATTAACTGTGGTCAACGGTGTAGCCCTGTACGTGGGAAGTATAGGAAGCTTTGAGTCTACACCTTTTTACATAGATTAAGCTCTAGATTGATTCTACTGATGGATCGTGAACTCGAGGTGCTGGGTTCCTGCCTTCCGGGGTTTTTGTATTACTTTGTTTTGTTGTATTAACTATTCAAATGTACAATGGTGCAGCTAGTGATGGGACTAGCTACTGTCTATCTGGGCAATGTGTTATGCTTGGGATGCCTCCCGCCCATTTAACTCTTTGTTTCATGTTAAATCTCCTTCGCCGCGATTTAAAAATTTAAATTTTAAAAGAATAACATCCACACCCAAATCCATCTCCACTCCATTTCGTCTTGTGGGATAAATTACCTTTCCAAACAATATCAGTGGTATTTTTGTCATGGGATTAGCAAGCCTTAACTTCGTTATATAAAGATTCACTACAGAACTAGTTAGTTGGCTGGTTCTCTGTTACCTTTCCAAATTTGTATTTGTACTCTTTTTAAACTGAGCCTAATAAAGGACTCATCTCCGTTTTAACAGAAAAAAAGGAGGTAAGTCCGGAATGCCGAATGCAGCCTTTAATGGTGCATCATATTAGATTTTATTGGTGATGCGGACCTATACACTATTCCATATCAACCAAAAATTTAAATACAAAATTGAGCAAAAAATTAGTTGATTATTTATCAAAGCATTGATGAACTTTATATGGGTTTTCTTTGTTGTATCCATTCCATGCATTTCTTAATTTTAAAAGTGTACTCTAGTACTTTGTTCATATAAGTCACCACAATATATTTTTCTCYTTTTTACACCTTGGTCATAGTCATTTGAGCCTTACCCTTGCTATTGTCGTGGGGATTTGTACGAGTTTTCTGATATTCTTTGTAATAATTGATATTTTAAACCCTTCACTGATGTGCTGAAGAACATTAAATATATTATGGTAGCACATCCCCACGAATCACTACAACAAATAAATGTAAAAGGCCAAGGCAACTTATAAAGGTTCAGAGAAACACGCTATTCCTTGGCAACTAGGCTTCATGAGCATGGTGGGCCAACCAATCCACAGCCTGATCCCCATYTTGCACATTTTCTTGAGCTTCCAACAGTCTTAGATGATGCTCCTCAGGTTCCACGAGCATGGACTTTTTAAGATGACTATCTTGGAGTTATCCTCAATTATGAGGAAAATTTTTGAAATTCAAGGCCAAATTATAGGCTTCTTCCCGAGATTAAGCTCTAATAAATGTTTAATCAGTCCTTATTAAGATGGAGGACAATTGACCATCTAAAGAAATAATCATATATAGTTTATTAAATCAATTGACAAACATCCAGCGCCCGTGGCCTAATGGATAAGGCGTCTGACTTCTAATCAGGCGATTGTGGGTTCGAGTCCCACCGGGCGTGATGTGTTTTGCAGTTTGCTTTTGAATTTTTTAATAAGCGGAAGAATTCCCAAAAGTTAAACACGTTACCTTGCTTGACGAATGACGATCCTTCGTTCAAACTAAAGCGAGTTTGGCCGTGGAAGGTTAACTTAGAGAACATAATTACTAAACTATTCTTAGTAGGCTACGCCAAGCAGCTTAGGCTGAAAAGTGAAAACAGCAAATGAAGGGGCCTATTTATTTTGCCGTCCAAAACCTGCAAGTTAAAAAAAAAAAAAAAAAAAGAAAGAAAGCACATGGCGTAGCCACATACTGCATTTTTTTTAAAAGGCAATTTACAACGGCGTCTGGATCAACAAACTGTAATTTATTTCTAGAGTTCTACACACCTTGTGCTGGACTAACCCAGACTTTGTTTACACTTTACACTTACACTTTGGACTATCTGATCTGTTGGTACGTATTTGGAGAACTATTAAGAAGAAGCACACTAGTCACTAGTAGTCAGTAGTCACCTCTAATGCTTTTCCTCTCCCTCCTATCTCTACACTTGTTCCTGCTTGTTATCACGATCAGCATCTCTGGTTCCAATTTGGAATGCCAAGCACAGAATGCTTATTAAACCAAGTTAGAAAGCTTCTGAGAAGCGTAGATCTGCTGGACCAGGACCTAATATCCCTTTGGCCTGCTCTGGTATCACTCCATTGATGCCAAGAGGTGGTGGCTCTAAGTGGCCATTCTTCTCGTCATCCGCCACAGATCCCTGGTGTCTCCACCCACTTCCTTGCCATTCCCGCTGCAACATCACAAGGAGCACAAACAAAAGAAATGAGATGTGTGGCATTGTGACAAAGAAATATATAGATGCACTCTAAATCCTTAAAAACACTTGCTTCTTCATGAAGGTGACTTCCATCCGGCAATATAGGGGTTGGTGGGACAACATCTGGATCTGGTTTTTGAAATATAAAGGTGGTATATAGACCTGCAATATGAAAACACCATGATTAGGAGACCGCAAATATCTCGGTAGGACTGGGCTACTGGTATCTCTGATAATACATGGAAACAAAAGATGTGATTGCAATTGCATCACCTAGCACATCAAATGATCTGGGAACAAGTTTTCCTCTGGCATCCACAAAGTTTGGGCCGTAACTGTGGAGCATCCCTGCAAATTGTGCTCTTTGAGTCACAATAAAAAAAGAAAATCAATTTACTATTTCATAAAAATGTTGTCATTTGGATTGCATCAATTTCAAGAAAAATAATGGATACAGTGATCAAAAATATGAAATAAAAAAAGCATCAGACAAGAATCAGATGGAAGGGACTAATAAATTAGAAAACTACAGATTAGACATTACTTTGCAAGGACAGCAAAGGGTTTGTAGACAACAGAATCAAAGTTATCTCCGGCTCAATGACACTAAGATATCAAGTAAAATTTTGTCAGAACCCAGTTTGACTAATAACTAGAGATGGATGTCTTTGAATAGTATCATACAAACTATACCAAAGTATTGGCATTATCTATTATTTATATATAACCCTCACCTCATTGCGTTTTAACACTAAAATGTCCCCAAATATCAATCGTCTGTAAATATTATCACCTTGCTCATGAAGTACCAGTAGTACATGACTACACATTTAAACTATTTGGTGTGAGGTACATTGAGTATGAACCCTGGAGCTGTTAACTAATGAATAACACAACAAACCCATAAAGACGGGCCAAAGCATGTAACTGGAAAAKTAGCATAAATAAGTGCATTGGTTTTTGGCAAGATAACAAAATTCAGACGAGAGGAATAAAATTGCAAATGCAAAACTTAGCTACCTGTTATCGTCATAAAATTCAGTTAAGTTTTGAATCTCCACGTATTCGAGGCCAGCCTCTCTAGCCAATCTGGTGCAATCAATATTTTAATATATATTTTGATTGTTAAACCATTGATTCAACTTTTTAAAAGCATGACCGGGAAAAAAAAGAATAAATAAACAAAAAAAGGAAGACCACAAACCTAATCAGGCTTGGAAAATGCACTAAGCAATGGGTCTCAGAAGTGACATCATTAGCAAATTTGAGCTGATATTTCTTTCCAAATAGTGGGAACCTGGAGAGGCATACAAACATTCAAATAGGGAGCAAGGGTTCTATGGATGTATCAAATTGAATTAAAAAAAATAAAGAAAACTATTAAAATGTAAGGTCTGATGAAATACTTCTCTTCCTCAACTTCAAATGTGATCATGTAACTCTCAGATCGAATGCAATTGGGAACAATGTTGGGTTTCATGCTGGCTGCTTTGTTATGATATGCTTCAACATTCTTCTGGTACTTTGCCCTATAAATTTCACAATGATGAGGATGTAGTATTAAGGAATGGATGCAAAATTTTTTATCATGTATACAATATTATTCTGACATTTGTATGTATAGGAGGCTAATGGTTATAGACAGTAAGCCAGATAAGAAAACAATGTTTAAAAAGTATACATGGCTTAAGGCTCAGAGAAATGCCTTAAGGCTTAACCTTCAGTCTCATGGCCATACTTATATGTATGTATTTGTGCTTGTATCTATGTTACAACATGTTTAAAGATGTAATTCTTTACAATTTAAAGGTTTATGATAGATAAAATGGTCTGTAAAAATGCACTCTTTTAAGCTCCTAATATTCTTATGGTTCCTATTTATGTGTTTCAGCTATTCATTTATATGCTATTCCTATATAAAAAAATTGGGAACTAATGGATGTTTCAGCTAATATTCTTAAGCCTCATGCATCCAAAGGTTCTGGCACCTTCCTTCATGCCTCGACAATTTTTGAAGTTGCAGGAAAATAATGGGTTAAATAGAAAGGGACTCAACAACTGATAGTGGTGGGATGAAATCTCCCAAATCATATGGTCATTGGACAAGATGACCACAACTGTTTAACTTACATTTTTACTAGGCCACTTGCAAAATATAAGTTATCCATTGATCTATATACATTTCAAAAGGAGCTTAGCTCTTCCTGATTTAAGGAGAAGACCAAGAAAGACAAGCAGGAATGCTATTATTGCTAAGAATCCAACTTTACAAAATTTACAGTGATAAAATAAGATTGATGAATAAATGACATCTTATTTCTTCTAAATTACATTTTCATTGCAGTGCAACTGCATTAAAAGTTCCCTTAGAAGATTCAAATGAACTTCAATTTTTTAATCTGGTCAGTGGTAAAATACACAGAGATGTTGACAATCATATGACCAGGAAATAATAAAGAAAAATCCAGTCATTCAAGAGAAAAAGGCTTTAATTTTTCATACCATATGGTAGAGGAGTCAGGAGTAATACCAAAAAAATAACCCCCTGGCTTCAGTAAAGATGACACATTATGTAGAAGACTCCTTGCTCTCTCCTCAGTTTCAAAACACAGCTGGTATGCTTTTTGTCAGATAAAACATATTCAAAAATTAAAGAATGATGTGACATTTGACAAAACAATAAAAGAAGATAAAAGAACCTGCAAATGTTGTAAGCAGCAAACGACATCTGCAGGGATTCCCTTGTCCTGCAAATATGACTCTAAATTTTCCTGTCAAAGCAGTATAGAAATGTCAAGCGCAGGTAACCAAGAAATTAAGATACTGATTATCAAACACACACACACACAAGATTCCATCCAAAAGCCTCGGCACAAAACCACCCAAACAATCATTAAGCCTCTCTGGAAACAACTCCTGTGTATATTAGGAAAATAATGCAGATTTGAAAGGATTGTCAAGACGAGTGGAAATGAAAAACAATGAAAATGGTGAAGCTTTCCTAAATTAAAAACAGTTTGAGAAAATGGCAAAGCCTTTCCAAGTCTCAATGAAGTAAGACTACAGTCCCTATATGTTTGCCAAATTTTGTGGGTTATTAATTTCTGACTCAATCAAATGTATACAGATTCATATGATTACTTTTCACTAGTAGATAAAAACACAACATTCAAGATAAAGAAGAATTATGCTACTCTCCTTCAGTCCTACCAGGACACCATGAAATTAAAGGTTCTAGCCATGCCACACACCTCTTGTAACAAACCAGGTTGAAGTCAAAAAAAAAAAAAAACAAAAAATGCACATAGAACTCATAAACAAGGTATCACAAGAAAAGACACATCCAATAAGAAGTCCATACTTTGATTTTCTTAATTTTATGTATTTAAATTATATACACAATAAATATTATTTATTGTCATGTCCTGGTACTGTGATTTTTGGAGGTAGACACACCTGTGCCACATACCAAGGTAACTGCTCTTTTTGGTCCTATCATGTATTCATTTCAAACGAAAGAGTTATGAGGAATTGAAGATTCAGGGTGAATTGACAGTACAACATACTGGGTTGAAAATCACCTTTACCTTGGCCTAGACTTTGTTTTCGGTATATTTTTAACTGGATGGTCTAGGCCAACAACCCTTCTGTTAGGTTATGATTATAGTGCATAACCTATGATCCCACTTGTGTGTATAAACAGAAACATTATGAACTTTACTTTTTTGAGCTTATAAACACAAATACCATAAACATTTTTAAAGCATCTTAGGCTTTGTTTTGAGAATCCCAAATCTCGACTATTCTTTTCAACTACAACAATCTTTCTCTATCATTAAATTCTATATTTCCGGTTAAATCATTTATTAAAACATCTTTCAAGCATGACCCAAGTCATTTCAGCATTCTTCATTGCACATACTCAGATCTTATAACTTCACTCCTTGTTTTATTGTTCAGTTGGGCTACTCCTAAATTTTCTTAGATGCAGTTGTTTCTGCTTTCATCCACATCAGGCTATGCTCATCAAATAGAGTTGCTATTTTCTCCAATGCCCAGCATTTGGCTCCATAATGCGTGGCTCATCCCATATTGAAAGTTCCACTTTTATGGCACACTTTCAGACCAAATGCTGCTAGAAAACATGAGTGAACTACGAAAATTGAAAATCATTTAAGAGCTTAAGTTGCTCCAAACCTGAACTCATGGACATTGACGAATTCCACGTCCAGATAGAAGGTATGCCGACTAGTACCATGAAACTACATAACTTAAAAAATCATTAACATCTATTACAAATAGAACCAATCTCACTTTGGTTCTATGTAGGAACAGTATTTCCAGTATTCTTTTTTTGATGGGCATATTTCCGGGAATTCAAAATGAAACAAAAAGACACAAAAGAGGAGAAAAGCTCAAACTAACCACACAAGGATCAAGCTCGCAGAAGTCTGCAGTATAAGGCTTCCTCTGGCTTTCCCATATCTCACGAGCTTCACTAATTCCGGAGGACGAAGCATCTACAGAATCCAAGCAATAATGATCAGAAGAACTGCAACAAAATTATCAAAAATCGAACACAACAAGGAACTAAAAAACACTTGCCAACTAAATTGATTGATAAATATCTTACAATTTCCGAGGTTCCTTACCAATTCCAATATAGTGACCAATTTGGGCTTCGTCCCACTTGTCTGTGTCTACTCCTCCACCACAATACAAATCGCAGACCTTGACAAAACGAACAAGTCAAAGAGAAAGAGAAAGGCAGGATAATTTGCTGCAAGATTGACAGAGAAAGAGAGGAAGAGCAAGAAATTAGGGCAAATACCGTGGCGTAGGGGGAGACGAATATCTTAATGAGGGCTGTCTTAGCGAAATCGTAAAGGCGAAAGTGAGCGGACTCAGTACGAGGGCAAGCAAATGAATTCATCGTCCCATAACCCAAAGAAACGATTCACTGCTCTCCGCCTTCTCGGTTCATCGAAGTAGAAGGAGAAGAGAACGACGAAACGACGACGGTATTTCTTCCCGCCCCACCTCTCACTCAAAACTGACAACCCCAAATCTCCATTCGAACCGAGAACGACTTTCCTGTGCCAAAACTGTCCGGATCAGCCTGTTCCTTCCGCATTCAAAGCCAACTATCTGTCAACCAGGACCACACTAGCCCTAAGTACAAAACCAGGCCCAAACAAGCCCTATATTATTGATCGGGCCTGAAATACTAAACCAGGCTTCCGATCAAAGTTCTTTTAATTCACCCTCATATACTAGGGTAACTTCCGAAATTGCCCTTCCCATTCTCATTCTCAAAACTATTTAAGCATCCTTTATTTCAAATCGTTTAGTTTTTCCTCTCAAATTTCTAAACTCGTTAAAATTATTCCATCATCAAAACCATTTAACCATCCTTTATCCCAAATCCTTTTAATGTTCTTCTCAAATTTTTAAACCCATTAAACTTATCTCATCTCAAACCTGTCATCATCACATGTGATGAAATGTGATATTCCTCTAGAGGGGAAGACGCCTATAATGAAATGCAAGAGAAAAAAAATTTAAATCTCCTCTTAATTCAGTTTTATATGATAACTCATAAAGATGAGTTTGGAAGGAGTATAAACACATACAAAATAATATAAAATACAAAGTTTTGCACTCTACATATAGGGTGCAAATGGATTGGATTGTGATCTGATCTGATATCCGATCTTACTTGGTCGAATTCGGATCACTCTCTATCCAATTCGATATATTATATATATATATATATATATATATATATTTATAATACATATATATGTTATTTATTTATTTATAAATATATTTTTTTAAATTTGTTATATTATTTACTTTATTTAAATTAGTATATTTTATTTTATTTTTATTAATTTATTAATTAAAAAAAGATAAGTCGGATCAGATCAGATCCAAAAATCTGACATACCAATAGGATTCGAATTCAAATCGAATCCTATCATATCCGATCAGATTTTTAGATCCCAACATGAAAAATAACGGATTGAATTCGAATATACCTTGATTCAAATCCGATCCATTTACATCCCTATCTATATATTTGTATTTATACTCCTTCCAAACGGAGACTAAATAATCAACTTCACAGTTAGAAGGAGCTGTTTCGAAGATACAGCTGCTTTTTCAAGAGGCTGAAGCAAAGGAATTCAAATTACCTGAACGCATTGACTGTTCAACGGGCTGTGGAACGACACCAGTAATAAATTCATGGGGCCCACTGTGAAAAGTGTGGGCCCTATGTATTTTATTACTGATATAAAATCTTATCATTAGTTCTACAGCATGCTAAACAGCCAAAGCGTTCAGCTAAACCCTGCTCAACTAACTGATTTTTCAGTTTAATCATCGCAAGTAGGCTGATTTTGCAAGGTGGGCCCTCTATGGACAGTTTTTAAGGTATGTTTGGGTCACTTTGTAAAAAAATCTGGAGAGTTCAAATCACCTCAAATAGCTTAGCCGAATGTTCAAGATTAAGATGCCAACCAGGAAACAAATTTGAAATTTCTGCTTTAAAACTGACATAAAGGTCAAATCATCCTGACTATTACCATTATCAGGGCTTACCCAAACCAGTATAAGCTACCAAGGTTAAAACAAATAATCCACCATGACGTCAAATTTGTCTGATAACTGGGATTTCAACTTTGAAATTTCAAGCATACAACCTGTAAAAAATCCTTTATTACTATACACCCAAATGTCCCATCTGACAACTATTCTCTCTCTTTTTCCTTAAAGATAATCGGTTCAGTTTCACAATGTACAATGTATTGTTTTAAGGGTAATTTTGACATTTTCAACAGATAAATCAACGGTCCATGAATCATAGGAATCAATTTGACACATTTGAAAGTCTGGGTACTAACTTGACACTACCCCTAGTTCAGGGTAATAAAATAGACTTTTCCCTTCTTTTTTTTTTTCAGTGAAATATTTGAGCTATACTTCATTCCTTCTTATTGTCTCCCTTGCCAAAAGTTCTCTTTAAATAAGTGAGAAACAATAACTGCAACATTTCAGCTGCAAAAGATATAAAATGAAACAAATACAGCTATGAATGTGATGAAAAGGATTTGATCTGATCACAGTCACAGTCTTCTGCTGTCTGTAAGATTGGCTCATCTATATCTATTTGTGGCCATTTGCAAATCCTTAATAATTAAGGAATGTTGGGCATTTGGGTGCCGCAAAATCACAGAAGGACAAAAATGGTCACTGGTTTTTTGATGTTAAAGACCCCCCTAAACAGCTTGTATTAGACATTAAGTACTTCTCTTTTGTTTGGACTTTTGGCTTCCAGTCAATCTATTGATGAATTCGACCATGTAGAAATTAAGATTTCAATGGGCAGAGCAAAAGAAATTCAATCTATGTAGAAATGCCCACATGGCCATGGTTCATTCTGTTACTGATCACTTTATCAGTTAACAGTTGATACTTTGGCATCATCTGTGAACAGAAACACTGAAACATGTTTTAAATGTTATAATGGTTTTTTCTGATTATCACTCCTCGTACAGGAATCCAGGCACTGTGGATGCCAACAAACAGAACTCTTTTGGTGTCTCTTTCTTTTGAAAAGCTGATGGAGCAAGCTTTTTTTATCACAATTACAGAAAATCATGTTAAATGCACTCTGGGTTATTTAAAATAGATTCAAGGGTGGGTTTGAAAGGGTTCTGTTGTTGGATGACTCAGCATGAATGGGAGGTTTTCATCACTAACTTGGATTGTTGAGCAAGTTGGTCAGTTTAAAAATGGGTGATTTTTTAATGAAACGGTTTCTTCTGATTTGTAAAATGAAAAAATTAAACAGATTTCCCATTTTCACTGATATGGGTGGGCAGAAAAAAAAAAAAAAAAAAACAACAAAACCATCTAAGTACTAAAAATCAGCATATTTGGACTAATTTTGACCATCCAATTTGTGAGAACTTGTGATTTTAAAAGATTGCTTTGGCCTCCTGGTGAATAATGAATACATCTTATTTATACTTGTGTCAGCTGCAGTCTGGCAGAGAAAAAAATAAATTAGAACGGATGGATCAGATCATCACCAGATGGGACTATTCCTGTTTTACACGAAATAATCTAGAATAAAATCCTGGCCAGTGCATAAGAAGGGAATCCGGAGCCAAAGTATCCAACTATCCAAGCGTGGCTTTTGAGTATTCCTGTATGTCTATGTCGTTTAGCCCTTTATTCAAATCTTGAGTACATAAAGGCTCTGAGTTGTGGCTCAGGTGCCCTTTGTATGTTTCTCACTCAGTTTCTGTCCTTTTTAATCCTTTATCTTTTTCTGTGCACCATTCCAAGATTTTTCATGGAGTTATGTGATAAGGTGACTGTTTTTTCTTTCTGCAAGAGATTTTAAGGGAACAGTTATCACAACAAGATGCAAGTTGCATTACACTGGGAAAGTTTCACTGAAACATTGTGGAAACAAAACCCACAATTGAGATTGATGTAACAAATTAGGCCAAGAGGAGTGGGACTGAGGTTCAGAGTTGAGATTTGAGAGAGATATTTACAGAGAAAGTTGCTCAAAAAGCCATTACATAAATCCAATTTATTCAACAAATCCAATCTATTCAAGTCTAGACTAATATATGTTTATACAATTTAAGTAGATTGATCGGGCCTCTTGTTTGAGGAGTGTTGTTGCTGTTGTTGTTGTTGATTCTGATGAAGATTGATCAGTTCCAGCTCCTTCTGGCGAAGGAGAAGAACCATTCTTTCATTCTCAAGCCTCATTCTCTCGTTGTCAAGCTTCAGTCTCTCCATCTCTCTCTCCTTCTTCCCACTGAACTTGATCCATTTGAACCGCTGCTTCTCCAGCTCAACTGCTTGACATTGATAGCTCACCCTCTGTTCCTCCAACTGCACCGACTTGGTCCTCATCCACTCTCTCTGCTCCCATGGGCTCTTCGCCCCATCCTGAAGCACATTCATCATCTCACTGTTCAACTGCTGTATCAATGGCGGAGTCGAAGACATCCCTCTCCTCTTCCTCTTCCTTTTCCTCGAACCCAATTTCTCGTTGTCTTCCTCTTCCTCACGTCCACCCCCTCCTTCTGCTCCTCCATGCTCACTACTATGGCCCCTTCCACCATTTTCCATAGATTCCTCGTCGTCATCGTCGTCGTCATCGTCGTCATCGTCGTCGTCATCGTCGTCGTCGCAATCCTCCTCCTCTTCACGGCCGCTTCCAGTCCTCATCTTTAACCCCTCGGTCTCCCCCCTGCTTAAGCCCTTCGAATTGCTAATAACAGAAGGACCTTCGGACGAATGGAAGCAATGCTGTTGCTGCTGATGATTTGCCGACTCTGCCGCCACCTCCGACGGATGGTGGCCACCGCCAGCTCCACCTCCCAGACCACCACCGCCACAGCTGTTGTGGTAGGCGCACATCTCCCTGAAGAAGAGATGCTTAGAATTGAGAAGCTTCCGGACCTCATCCTTCGTCTTAGGCGAGAGCTGTTCCATTGTGTCCAGCAAGCTCTGATTCTCCACAACCTTGCAAGCCGTACCTCTTCCCAGGATATCTGTAACTCTCTTATACCTCTTGTTTAGGTCATTAAATTTGTCCTCGCACTGCTGCGGAGACACATAGAAACCCTTCTCCATCATGGCCCTGGACACCGATTTCCACTTGCCTTTCTTCTGCAGGAGCCCGCCGGGCTTCTTTTTGCCGGCGCCGGAGGGGTCGTTGCCTTCGGAGCCACCGTCGTCGCCGATGTAGAAGACCACCATGATGAGAAGCCTCACCATGTTATCCGTCCACTTCATTCTCTGCCACGGAGACATCCTCTTCTTCCCGTCTGCTCCACCGTCCTCCCCCGCGAATCCCTGCTCCTCCTCGTCGCTCAATGACGGTTGCTGCGGCTTCGCTTTGGTGGCATAAGGAGGGTATACATGCTGCTTCACAGACTGAGACTGCGAGTGATGATCGGCGTCTTGACCTGCAAATGACACCATTTGGGGGTGCTGCTGCTGGTGGTGGTGTTGGTGAGGATGGTGCTGTTGCTGCGCTTGGTGCAGAGGCATCTCCAGTCCAAGCATCCCAGGAGACAGACCGGAGATCATTCCTCCCGCCATACCATTAACCTCCATATCAAAGATCAAATCACTCCTACAAAGATAAAACAAAGGAGCTCAAGCAACCAAAAGCAAAAAGCTTTCTCCTTTTAGTTTCTTTTTCTTCGTTTAAAAAGATGATCTGAAAAAATAAAGCAGAACCCAATAACCAAATCTACCTAAAAGACCCGGCAATGGAGGATTGTGATTGGGGTATTGAAATATCAGTCAGGACAACTCAAGTGCATGAAGATCATCTCCTGGGGGGGGGGTTGTTCTTCAGCTGCACCGCCCAGAATTGCAGACCATCTTTCATTTAGGTTAACTCCTTAGGATTGAATGGTGTTTGAGCTTATATAAGAGCTTACATTTCATTCAAACCAATCCTAAAGCCGGATAAAATGCAGAAACAGTGAATCTAGAGAGAGAAAAGCTAGACGTAGAAAACATACAGAGGGTGGAGCAGCTGGTTTTAGGAGAGGAGGTTTTGTGTGGGCTGATAGAAACGTAAGTGCCCACGGTTTTAGGCCGGTATGAGAAATCCACAGGATTCCGCAAAAACCTCTCCGCGTCATTGAGTTTTGACCTCCGAAGTTTCGAATAGAATCATTAAAATCATTAACGTCATCCCAACAAAAATCTCAAATTTGGGCTCACATCAGATCAGACCATCGGGAAAAAATCTTACCCAATTCAGCTCTCAAGGGTGAGACCCACTGCCTAGATTTAGACGGTCTGGATTGATCGAATCTCCACCCACGTGGCACAAATAGGGACAGGTCTCTCCTCTCTCTCGTCTTAAAACCATTTTTTAAATTAAACTTCATTGGATGGTGGGCCTCAACGAATCTGGATCCTCAAATCAAATTCTACATAAACCAGATCTAAAGGTCTAAGGGCGATTAATTAATTAAAGCAAAACTGGTTTAATCGGTTGAAAGGAAGTTGACGTTGACCAAGCTCTCTCTGATTAACAAACTATTTAAGCACATCCGATGGGTGGGCTTTGGTGGGTTATGATGCAAAGAGATGGCCCACAGAATGGATGAGATAAAAGCTGCAGAGTGCTGATTGGAGGCCCATGGCATAATGATGTCAACATTTCTTGTCATCATGTTGTTGTTGCTGCTCAGCTGCTCCCTTTTCCGCAATTATTATCACAAAAGGACAAAATGTAATCTGAGGTTTTGTCTAAATCCACGGGATTAATGGGGGGGGGGTGTTTAGCTCTTGTCCTTTTGTGCTTTAGGGCCTCCGTGTCGCTCACTTCTCCAATCCAACTTCGGCCCATTAACGTAACCTTCTAGCTTTTTGGTTGGGTTGCTTTAGCTTAACTCTGCTTTTGGAAAAGCCATTAAAAAAAAAAAAAAAAAAGCTTTGTTGGATGGGGGCCACGACAACGTGAAAGCCCTCCCCAGCCAGGCCAGACGGCCGCAATATAGGCAATACTTTGTTTTATTTTGTGTAAATAACTGAGATTGGGCTTTTGAGCCCATAGAACTCAAGTTGTCACGTTTTGGTATTCGGTGGACTGGAGCCCACTTTGGTGGTATTTGGATCCTCTACCGAAATTGGAGGATTGTGGCCTTGTGGGCCATTATGCTACGTCACATTAGCCTGATATACGGGCCCCACAGTATTATGGGTGGCGATGTAGAGAATTCCACCTCATTTTGATATATTTTCAATTAAAAATGTTTGAAGTAAAAATTTGTGATATATCTATATGTAAGTATGTGTATAATAATATTAAATATATGCATGCGCAAAAAAAATATAAATAAGCTTTTAAATATTTTGAAAATATGAAATTAGAATTTTCTTAGTTTTATCTCACTTCGTTTTTCATTCTTAGGTGTTAAGTGCCATGGTGTGAATTTAATATTTTTATATTAGTTTTTTGGATGTAAAATTTACATTATCAGTAAACGCAAATGAGATATTAAGTACAGATTTTGTATCAGATAGGAATGCAAATCATAATTACAAATAAATAAAAGCAAAACTGAATCTGATAAAATTTCGGATTTTTACAAAAGAAATCAGTTCCAAAGAAATGTTTGCACCATCCTTAATTGCCAAATTGGAAAATGGGATTTAATTTTTTTTATAAGTTGCCTTTTGTTGGATTTTGATCCTTCTTGTTTGGTTCACTATCTGATCCTTTTTAATGTACTTCTGGTTTGATCATCTGATCTGGTCAAAATCTATCAATGGTACTAAAACAAAAGAGAAAAAAAAAAAAGAAAAATGCAACAATATTTTACATGCAAATTGCTCGTCTATAAAGTATTAAAACAATTTGTTATTTGCCTATCATACAAAGTGGTCAGTATGACAGGCACCAAACCCACTAAATGTAGAAAAAGAGATGAAGATAAGAAGGATCCTCAATATCCATGTTGCAAAAGGTTTTATATGCAAATATTTCAAAACACTTATCATTTTAATTGCATTCTCATTCAATATGCCTATCAGGGTGTTTGGTTCCATGGGTAAACACTACCACTTAGGCGCCACTTCAGCAGTTCTCCTCTCTTATTATTTCGTACGCATCAATAATAGCAAAAATGGACTTTGATTTTTGTGTACATCTATTATTTGGGGAAATTATTTTTTAAAACTTTCATAAATGATTAGATTGTTACAGTGATATAGAGCTTAGTGACACGTAGTTGTCATAAACGATTGTAATTATTATCTTTTTCGATTTTTTTAATAAATAAAGTACAAACGTTAAAAAAAAAACATAAATGAAACAAAATACATTATTTTTATGCCTATAGTACATATGGTCATATGCCAAGAACCTAGACCAAGTTGGCCTAGGCCCAAATTATAACCCTTGTTACAGGAGTTACGTCTGAGGGATCCTTACTCACCCCTACTTTGGGATCTGCTACCCACTAATTGTTTTCACATTCATAACCGCATAGCACCACCACCGTATATTGGGAACATCTCTCCATCAATGATAAGTGAGGCAGTTGTCATGTCTCGTGGGTAGCAGATGCGAGCTCTACTTTGGAAGGATGGCTGTGGTTGAGGTATTAGAACTATTATTAGTAGAATGTAGATGCAATTTTGGGTACGAAGGGGAGCTTTGAAGGTGTGAGTGGAGAGAGTAGGAAAAAAGATTATGACGAGCCCCACGAGCTTAAGCCGGCACTATGGYATTATTCCTGATCCTGGACGGACTGAGACCTTGGTGGAAGCGGCACTACGAGTCCTGAACACGGCCGATCCAGTCGAGAAGGCCCGTGTAGGAGAGTCCATGGCCACGAAATGGCTCCGGGGCGTCATCACCCAACCCTACCAACCTTCCCTGGATTTCCATGTCCCCGATCGACCCGCCAGGCTTTCCAATGTAAGTTCACCGACGCACACATATTAACACGATTCCTCTCCTTGATCTGTTCGATGAAATGTCGTAATGAACATGCAGGTCAAGCTGGTTTCGCCTAGTCTCATGCCGAAGCTGGGAAAAGCGGGGAGCCTGCAAAGCAGACAAGCCATCCTTCACAGTCTCGTCCACACGGAGAGTTGGGCCATCGACCTCTCTTGGGTACCACAGACCTGTTCGTTTTTTTCTATCAGATAAAAGAGGAAGCCGTTGTGTTTTGTTGATTCGAGTTTTTCATCCTGATGCAGGATATCATAGCTCGTTTCGGTAAACAGGAGGCGATGCCGAGGGAATTCTTCACGGATTTCGTGAAGGTGGCTCAGGACGAAGGGCGGCACTTCACCCTCCTCGCGGCACGTCTGGAAGAGCTGGGTTCTTTCTACGGAGCATTACCAGCTCATGATGGTCTCTGGGACTCGGCTACCGCTACTTCTGAGAGCTTGCTGGCGCGCCTAGCAATCGAGCACTGCGTCCATGAGGTACAAGAAGATGGCTTCTCCTTGCATATGTTTAGCATTCATCGTTGAACGCGTCTAATATCAAACGGTTGAGTGAAATTACAGGCAAGAGGACTCGACGTGCTGCCCACGACCATATCCCGTTTCCGGAACGGAGGCGACGATCGTACAGCAGATTTACTAGAGACTGTGGTGTACCCAGAAGAGATTACACATTGTGCAGCTGGAGTAAAGTGGTTCAAATATCTCTGCTTGAGATCAACAAAGCCAGCATCTTTGGATGGTGACTGCTTCAGACGGGGAGACAGTGAAGACAGAGAAAGAGAAAACACGACAGAGGAGGAAGAGCGAGCAGTCGATGGTAGAGGAAACAAAGATGGAACAGAAACAGCAGGTGGGGAAGGTGATGATGATGAGAGGGAGGTGATGGAGACCTTTCATGCGACAGTAAGAAGGTACTTCAGGGGTCCACTTAAGCCTCCTTTTAACGAGCAAGCCAGGAAAACTGCCGGATTTGGCCCTCGTTGGTATGAACCTCTCGCTGTCAAGGAATCCAATTGAGGTCTGAGCCTGAGAATAACAGATTTTTGTTCGTTTCTTTTTCCTTTGAAGTCCCATTTCAATTGGGGTAATTTCGTTTGTGTGAGATAACACTGATACTAATATAGCCTCCGTGAGGCCATATCTATTAAAGCTTAAAGGGTCTTGTTTGTAGTAGGGAATCACCCAATTGGACAAATGAACTCAAAGTTTTGACTTCTGAAAAGTTTAAATTTATCCTTAAAAAATGGGGCAAATTTTTTATATTACTCTTATGATTTAGTTAATTAATTAACTTCACCCTTACTCTGTTAAAGAAAAAATAAACAAATTATTTTATCCATTATTCTCTTTCAAAATTTCAAAATAAAACATTAATCGATTCAAACCTATGTGGTTCGACAGCATCAACAGACATTATCGTCTTTGCAGTTGCCGCCGATTATATTCATCAAGTAGAGAACGAAATCATGTCCTTGAATATGAACGGATGAATCTTTGATGCTCCAATTCCTCCCTGACGATCTAAGGGGGGGAGAAACAGGGGAAAGAGTAACGGGGTTGAGTCATTCTTTTGTTACATGCATACAGCTAAAAGGAGATCGGAAGTGAGATCACAACGGAGGGATTTCGGGGTCCAATGGACGGAGGTGACGAAGGGGGGGCAAGGGCGACAGGGGGGGTAGAAGGAGAAGGAGCAGGCACGTCCACTAACCGCTAAACCGCTGTAGATGATGAAATCCCGTTCTCCCAAGTGGGTATTGCACGAACAAATCGATTCTTTTCTTTTGATAAGCATTGATTCTTTGCTTTTATTTCTTTTTTAATCATTAAGCATTATTGGTCAATTGTTTTGGGATATCATAGTCGAACCCTTTGTTAAATTCTTTCTGGTTTTTGTGTTGACATATCTTTTTTGGGTTTAAACCCTGAACCCCAATTTTTGGCCAATATGTGATGTAATAAGCTATGGCAGGCCTCTTTTCTAGTGGAGCAACTCACAGACTCACGTCTACGCTCTTGTGACTTATCTCTCCGATCAAGGTCACCAACTCACAGACTCACGTCTACGCTCTTGTGACTTATCTCTCCGATCAAGGTCACCAACTCACAGACTCACGTCTAAGCTGTCATATGTCACCAAGTGTTGCGGAAAATTAAAGGCAGGAGAGGTATTAGATAATTGTCAAAACTCAAAAAACTTAAGAATACTATAACATAATATATAAACAGTAAAGATAAAATTAATCAATTAGTTAAATCATAAAAATAATTGCGACTGGTTTTTCTGTTGAATCACTTGGGTCAACGGTTTGACCGGATTTTAATATTTTGGATATACTCAAGCCGGCCAAAGGCTCGGTAAAAAACCAGTCTGACCGACTCATCTGATCCGATTTTCCAAACATTAGTTTGATTGTACTCTGATTGGGACACATTCTGCTTCATCTTTTCATGGACACAATCATTACAGCTCAGGCAATGCTAGGTGTCCTATGTCACAAAGGCGTGTGCATGAGAAATGACCCAAAAATAGAACCCATTGAGAATTATATTGTCAAATTATAACTCTATTAATGGACACAATTGTAATTAAAAAAATATCGCATGATTTTCTAATTGGAGGCAATTTCTAATTAATGAATGGAACAATACCATATGAAGTTTTGATCGATTGAGTAAGGGTGGCAATTTTCCCGTCTCTGACGGGTACCTGGGCTCCCCGACATGATGGGGGGCTACCTTGGCGGTAGGGCTGTTCACGGGTTGGGTTGGGTTGGTTTATTATGGTTTTTTCAACCGACCCAACCTGGTCAGGTTACCTGACATAGAAATCAAAATCGGCCCAGTGTTAAGCAAAGCCAACCTGGTCGGTTTGAGTCGGGTTGGGTCGGTTTCAGTTCTAAGTTCATCTCTGTGATAAAATCTTGCTAATTTTAAAAACAGTCATAAATTGAACATCATTTCAGCCATCTCCTATGATAAAATTTAAATGAAAAGTTAATCACAAAAGTTGTTCATTTCACTAATCCAAAGTTTCTTGCAACCATTCAAAAACTAGGTGGCCTAATGGGCTTTGGAACTTCATGTTTGAACTAGGAACTAAGTCGGTTCAGTTCGGATCGGTTTCGGTTTTCTTGTGTGAAAACCAAAACCGACCCAAATCATCAGTTTAGGAATTTGCACAACCCAAAACCAACCCGTGCTGATGAAAACCCAGCCGACTCGGGTTGGGTCAGCCCGGGTTGGTCGGTTTGGTTGGGTTGGGCCTTCTTATGAACAACCCTACTTGGCGGGGTCGGGGTCGGGGATGGGGCTACCCTTGAATCCTCAATCGGGTTTGGGGACAGGGATGGGAATGCAATCCCCGCCTCAACCCGTCCTCAATTAATAAATATATAATATTTATATTATATTATTATTCATTTATTTTAAAGATTAAAACTTAAAAAACACAAACACTCGACAAAGGTTAGTGTCTTCGACAGACAAATAGAGAACTCTGAACCGTGAACCATAATTAGTCTTCTTCCTTCGTCTTTGTCACCGATTCATCAACCGCCGTCACTATTTCCACTCGCTCGTCGAACGTGCATTGTTGCCGACTACCAGTCTACCACTCGAGTCTCGACAAAAGAAAGAGATATTCAAAGAAGAAAGAACTGAAACTCAGTCTCAGCCTCTCAAACTACCAATCTATCATCGCCGACCGCCGTCGCTGTCGCCTGTCAAACTCTCTCTCTTGTCATTGGCCTCAACTCTCAACAGTCCTCTCTCTCTTTCTCTCTCACTGTCTTAGTCTCTCTCTTTCTCTCTTTCTCTCAATCTCTCAATCTCAATCTCTGATACTGGCAACGCCATTTTTGCTTTGTTAATGGCTAAATCCTCGGGGATTTGGGTCTCCGATGGAGAATTCATCCCCGTTGGAGTTGGAGATGGAGAGGAATTTCTTTCCCCGATGGGGGTCGGGGAAAGGGATGGGGAATGTTCCATTCCTACGATTGAGGCTTTAATAGATCTCCAAGATATACAAGTTCGGTTCTAGATTTATGAATAAAAAATTCATAGGTTCTTATAATTATATTTTCTTCTGTCATTTGAAATTCATATGCTGACCTTGATGATAGATATACAGCAATGATTGCAATGATTTTTCATGACAAAAGTAATTTTAAAAATTACGGGTTGATTTTCCCCAACCTTAAAATCATTCTCTATTTTCAAAGAGTGGACTCTGTTTTTCAGAAAAGCCTGAGATTACAATGCTCTGGTTTTCAGAAAAGCAATTTATCAATGCAAAATAAAATTTTGCTCTTACAAGTTATAACAAGCAATTTATCAATGCTTTATTTCCATGCCTCTTGCAACTGTCCTCACTAAGAGGAAGTGGAGCCGCACATAAAGTGTCATACACGGGAAAATCCCAGCTCAATCTGATACCAGATCAATTCCACTATCCATTTAGGAAAGGAAGCGGATCTTATCCAATAAATAACAAAATTCTGATAATGGGGGTTGTACAATGAAATGCAAATCAAGTACTCAGGCCTTGGATTTCCCAGGGGACTCAAAAGCTTTGCATTCTGAAACTACACCAACTAAGCTGAATATATGCCATCCAATGGTAGACCCGTCTGATATCTCATAAATTTACTTGGTGTGTTACTCATATTATCATAACATGAGCCTTCGAATATCACTGAAGTTCAATTTGAGAGCTGAAATGAATGCACCTGCACATGAAATAGCAATAACTTAAATGGGATGACACATGTGGAAAGAGATTGAATTTTATTATGGTCCTTCAATGAATCAATCCTTATAATCAGTAATCAGACTAACAGTTAATCTTCAAAAAATGAGGTCCAGATTAACAATTGAGACCATATGCACGGTGCAGCATAGGGGTAATTGTTTGGTGCAATTGTAAAATCTTGGGCTGATAACCATGAGTGCATGACAATGCAGGTTTGACTCTGAGAGCAGCCACTTTGCTCAAGAAATGCCAGTCCATATCCCGAGTCCAGATCACCCCCTCCCAAAGCCCTGGATAACTAGGACCACCATTGGCTAACAGCCCTTTTATATGCAAGCATGAAGGATACAAAGGGACTGTCTCTTCTCAAACACATTATCTTTTATTTTTTCTAGGAAAGAGGGCTACACCTGAAAACTTTAATAACAAAAAGTGAAGTAAACAAAATTTCAGCATGTAGAAAATAACTCTAAGTTTTCTTCTACACATACTTCCAACATTTCCATCAAAAACACGATGATCTGTTGACAATGTTAAGCTCATTTTTGTCACAACGGCAGGTTGTTCTTGTCCTGGAACAGTATACACATAATTTCATGTAAGTCATTCAGTAATATCAATGTTATGCAAAACAATAATGATAATAATTTGAGAAGTAAACATCTTACCATTGGCATCAACCACAGGTTCAACAACCTCATTACCTCTACCCACAGCCAGAATGCAGGCCTGCAAGGAAGAAATAAATGCTGTTATGTGACCTTTTCTTTTAGCAGAATGCTGGCCTGACAGGGTTGTTTGCATATTTGCATGACAAACCAATAAAAATGACAATGTTGCAAAATGGGGCCAGATAACCAATTATTTGCTTCCTAATATTTAAAATAAATGAAAGGGAGAACTGTTCTTATTGTTTCAAGGAGGTGGTGACATAAAAGTCATCCAAGAGAGAGAGAGAGAGAGAGAGAGATCAGTTACAAAGACGCCTTTGGCTAGGCTAAGGCTATAGTACATATTATATTTAATATATGTATACGTATATAGATACATATGTGCACATACACACACATACATGTATAAAATATACAACATAATATAAATAAAACATATATAGATGTAATACATAAATGTATTGTGGGCTGGACCAGCTATGTATGGAGAAGAGTGTTGGGCAGTCAAGAAACAACATATCCAAAAAATGATTGTAGCAGAAATGCATATGAGATGGGATGAGTGGAAAAACCAGAAAGGATAGGGTAGAAAATGAACCTGGGAGTAGCTCTAATAGGTAATAAAATGATAGAAGATAGACTTAGATTGTTTGCTCGCATACATAGAAGACCACCTACAGCATCTGTAAGAAGAAGCAATCTGTGACAAGTTGAAGGGGCTAGAATGGCTAGAGGCAGACAAAAAAAACATGGGTCAAAGTGGTAGGAAATGATTTAAGTGCCTATAATTTAACAATGGATACGGCATTAAGCAAGACAGAATAGCAAAAAAAAAAAAAAAAAGATCCATGTAGCTAATGCAATATAGTTTCGACAAGGCTTAGATGATGATGATGATGATTACAGGTTGGGCCAGGTAAGAAATAATCATTCCTAACCAATAGCAGAATTGGAGATGTTATACATACAAGCATTTTATTAATATGTATATAACAATAAGCATTTTATTAATGATCAATCAAAAAGAACTATCAAAAGATACAACATAGAAGTTTCCCACAAAGAGGAGCAAGATGCAGCCTCAAAAACAAAGCAGAATTACAATTGAGCCCAAAATAATTGATCCCTATGCACCCCTTGCTTAGCTAGGTCTGCCAGCCCATTCTCCGATCTCCTTTCCCAATGAACACTAACTGTTATGTTGGAGGTTAGCCACTTGAATCTTCTCATCACCCCCCTAAAGGACCAAGCTACAGTATCCAACTCCTTCAGCCACCCAATTACAGGTTTAGAATCACCTTCAATTAGCAATCTCCCATAGTTCAGCTCTGTAGCAATCTGTGCTCCCTGTAGAACTGCTTGGGTGTCCACATTAACCGCACCACCACTCCAATTAGACCAGCGAATAGGGCAAAGGCAACAATCTGACCCTCTGCATTTCTGAAAACTCCTCCAATACCAGAAGGCCCAGGATTAACAAACCAGAGATGTTAAATATTATGAAGGGATTTACTATTTTCATTTCTTTTATGGTTTTAATGTTTTCTTTTTTATCTGTTTCCAAGACTTTTTTTCATTACTAGTAAATATGCATGTGCATTGCAATATATTTTTTTTTATCAGCCAGATAAAATTCCTTCATTAAAGTCTGAGATAAGATACAAGTGTTTTTAGTTCAGTAGCCCAAAATACATCAGAATACAGCTTGCCCCCAATGCTTAGGTTTGTCAGCCCCCTTCTTTACCACTAATAGATTACAGCATTGCCCAAAATAAGGTAGATCTATCATCTCCCTGTTTTGCTAGGGCTTGCAAACCCATTTGCTGTCCTTTTAATCCTGCCAAAATTAGTGTTCAAGCTCTTTGCAAGAAAGTAAATTTCCCTAAATGCAAATCTGTAATTCCAAGGGGCTGAATTGGTTTTCTTAGCCCAAGAAATAACCGATAAAGAGTCTCCTATTTCCAGCTCTCTAATTCCTAGCTGTACTGCTAGTTTCAGTCCTTGTAAAGAGCCATTATCTCAGCCTTAACCGAGTCTCCAAATCCAATTGGTCCTGAGAACAAAGCCACTACAACTCCTAAGACTCCTATGTGCATTACAGTATTTCATTGTCCTTGTCAGAACCCCAGACCACTTATCTGCCAAAAAAAGTTGACTTAGTCAACAACCTAATGACCTGACCAATTGAACCGCTGAACCTTTTGGCCTTGTCAATGGATCACAAGTTAGACATCAATCCTCTTTTTTTCTGTTTTTATTTTTGGAATTTTATCCATTTCCATTATTAACAACAATAGTTCCCATTTATTACCCATATTTTTGTTTAATATGATGAATATATAATATTAGAGACATGCCCAATTTTTCTACAAATTTTATGAAAAAAAATTATCTTTTTCTACCTTTTTATTGAATTTATGGCATCACGGGTTGACTTACTGACCTAGATGGTTGAAGTTGACCAGCCAGTCAGAGGGTAATGCAGTTCCACTCGGTTTTTAAAACATTGTTTTTTATCAATGTTTTCTACTTGCAGTCAAATAAACTGGTTAGACTTGGGGCTGTCAATGGACTCCGAAAGTTCAATACCCAACTCAACTTTGAATTTGATTATGCCAAATTTGGATGTCAGAACTTGCATCCGATTAATAATCAAATCGGATGCAGATTTAACCCCATCCAATCCAATTAAAATCCGAGTCCGGTAAAAATTATTTTATGTATATATGTAGTATAGTCATGTATATATGTATATATATATATATATCTATATATATATATATATCTATATATATATATATATATAT